CTTTCTTTTCTTTTTTTTTTCCTTTTTTTTTTTTTTTTTTTTTTTTTTTTTTTAATTTCTACTTTTTATTTTTTATTTTTGAATCCACGAGTAGAAAACACTCGTGAAAAATATATATATATTTCGTTCTGTCTCGATTATTCTAATCTCTAATATCTGAGCATGCTTTACTAATGCATCTTTGCTCTATCATTTACTGTCACTTCTTCTCTCTTTCTCTTTCTCTTTCTTCTTTTTTTTTTTTTTTTTTTTTTTTTGTTATCTTGGTTTAATTACGACGCCTAAGTATCATACGATTCTAGCGGTACTATTCCATATTAGATTTAAAATTGCATAATAAAACTTGTTTGATGAATCCATTAACCAGATGAGTTTTTATAGTGTGCCCAAGTGACAGTACCTATTCGTGACTTTATGACACGATAATTCTTTGATCATTCACAGCTGGTATATATCGTGTAGCTTAGAAAATGAAATTCAGGTCATATGTGTAATATAATCATCGAACATTTGCTTATACAGTAATTTGATCGGATCAATCGTATTCCCGATCGTTGGAAGTGCAAGTGCCAACTTCGTTGATCCGTTCACTCAACGATATATTTTATATTTAATCCGATCGTTCGGATTTTTCTCCATCGACACGGAATACGATCGAATCGACCGATGGAAAGATTGTAATTTAACATATCGAAATGGTTTGTGCAATATGGTTTGACATGGTTTTCTTTCCCATTTTTTTCCCCCAATTTTAGTATCGACAGGAAGCATCACGGATGTGGATCGACGGGCATTGGTATGTACCACAGCCCCATACTACTCCCGGCGAATTAGCATGGTTTGTAGCTTGTTTTGCATATGAATTATTTAACAGCATATTATCATTGGCGCGCATTTATCATAAAATTAGATAGACATTCGCGTGATTTCTTGAGATACGAAGAATTTTCATAGAAACGAGAGAACGAGTGCCGGCCAAATCGTTCGTAAATCTAAATCGGATTAAACGTATTTGTATATAACGAGATTTTGCCGGTTTGTTTATACTTGTATAATAATATAACGTTTGTACATATACAAAATTGTATATTGATTTACGCATGCACGTGCTGTACATTTGCTACGATATATATATATATATTTTTTTTTAATGAATTCTTTTTTTTTTTCGTTTTTGCATCTTTTTGTACAATTTTTTTTTCTTACCTTGGCATATTTGAAGATTGCATATTTGATTTTGACCTTGCGAGAAAATTGGACACGATCGCGAGAGTTCGATTGATCGTTTGCAATGTCTTGAATATATGTACACCGAAAGATTAATCGGCTTTTTCCTTTTATTTTAGATTGATAGATTTCTTTATACGCTTGTTATTAGTCTTATTTGTTCGTTACGATAACACGATGTGAGTTTCGCGTACGAAATGTTAGAGCGTCGAAAATAATTAAAAATCTCGAATAAGGCTAACGAGACTGACGTGTATTTGCGGTGTTCTCATGACTTGACTGCATATTCTGCATCCGTGGCATAATCAGTGCATACGAGACGGGAAACGGAACTATATGCCTAAACTGAAATTAACGTGCATGAGATTGTAACGTGTGCGATGCGTGTTTCGATTGCTTTGTTCTCTTTTCTATCGGTTAAGAATAAAATTTGAAGAAGAAAAAAAGTGTAATGTAACTGTTGCATCGAATCGTATAATTCATTAATTAAAGTGCACGAACAATTTCCAATCGAAGAGCAACCAGTCGGAAAATTAATCCGTAAAAAATGCCAGTTCCTATAATTCGTTTCAGTCTAGCTCTATGGTTCTGTCTCGTGTTAAGCTCTGTCGAATCATTCATTAACAGATGCGGTGTTATGCCGATTCTTTTTGTTGCTATATATATATATATATGTGTATTAGCTCTTGTTACGGACAACAATCGATCCGTTGCAAGATGAAAGATTCTCGCATCAATTTCTTTTCCATTATATCAATTTCTTTTCCACGAACTCAACGAATTCAATTTAAAAATTAATACATAAAAAAATTGTGCGAGAAAATTTCGAACGGCTGCACCGCTATTAACGCTCATCACACGTTAGAATGGATCAAACTTTACAATGGAATAATTAACGATTGAATGATTGTTCAGAATGATGGTGGAATGCTGCCATCATCTACCACGTATACAGGTGGCCTAGGTTCGGTAGTTGGAAGTCACGGGGGCCATCACGTAAGGAGATCACTGCCAGACATGGGGACAGCACCGTCCGAACCGCCGAAACTCTATCCTTATCATTTACTCGTCATCACAAACTACAGGCTGCCCGCTGACGTGGATCGTTGTAACCTCGAAGTGAGTTATCGAGAAATCGTCTTATATATTTTAATTAAGCGATGATATTTTATCATCAGCAAACAGATTGTTTTTCTTTAACAAATGTGAATATCGTTCATTGTTTTTTTTCCCCCTCTCTTTTTTCTTTTCAGAGACATCTTTCCGACGCGGAGTTTGAGGCAGTACTTCAATGTACTCGTGCCGAGTTCTACAGATTGCCGCAATGGCGTCGTAACGAAATTAAAAGACGTGCCCGGCTGTTTTAACTGGCAGCTATCACGCTACGTGTTCTACTTATTACCTTCATCGTATCACGACTGTGTTACCGTGCTATAGAGTGTACATTCCGTCGGCGTGGTAGGTGTATGAATGAGAGAAAAAGAGAACACGTTGTTCGGGGAATCAACGATTCGTACCGATTTTCGATCGCGAACATCAACGATATCAAAGCGTTGTCATCGTTGCGAATGCAAAATAAAAAAAATCGAGGCAATCTCGATCTCGCCTCATTTCGTACACGTTCACAGAGACACGTATAAACAAAATGCATACACACATGTTTAAACACGTATAAACACACGTTCGCACGATGACGCAAATACTTATAATATATATACATAAAGGAGCACTACCATTTGACGTCAATTTTATTCTCTCAGCAACGAATCCACAGGCAGCTTGATTTTTGATCGTTCACAAACTATTTCATCGTATCCTGTGATTTCGATGCTTCTTTCGGGAGAATCTATATGTTGTTCATAAGGAAACGAAAGGAAGATATGTTCAACCGTTTCTGTGATTGACAGAAAAAGACCTGCTCGACTTGGTCGAAGACGAAACTTGAGAATTGAAGAAAAAGGGTTGAAAAAGAATTTATGATTCGACGTTGTTTAACGAAAGGAAACATGTATTGTATGTATATCAACTATTAATAGTGATGGTTTCATGGGGAATATTTCAAGCAGAAAATTGTTATCCTGTATTTAACATGTACACACTTTCACGACTATAATTTTCACGAAAAGTGGGAATAGTAGATGAGTAATAATAATTTTAGAGAAATAGCTGAAAGTAAAGGTGGTCAGGATTGTCTAAAATTTTATCATTTAACTGGAACATCATTTTGTGACTTAGAATTTACCCGTGAACGTCGACGTACATATAAAATAGCGCGATGAGAAGATGTGCAAGATTCAAAGCGAATAAAAAGTGAAAAAAAAATGGTAATACTCGTCGATACGCAAACGTTGATGTAAATAAACGAAAGAGAAATCTTAGAAAAAATGAAAGAAGCAACGGAAGTACGAGGAAGTATATATAAGTATATATATATATATATATACATATATGTACACATATATGTACAAACGTATAATACCATTTTGAAAATTCGCTTGAATCACGAAACACACTTACTATTTGCAAAAAGCTATAACATAAACGCGCTATTATTATAGAATTATCATTATCATTATTATTAATTTTTAATTATTATTATTATTATTATTATTATTATTATTATTATTATTATTATTATTATTATTATTATTATTATGATCATCATCATCATTATTATTATATTTTACTATAAGCAATTTAAAATATAACTAGATAGGAAATCCAGCTTGTCGAATGACGTAATTATCAACGTATTTAAATATCATCATCGAGTTTGCTCTTTTTATTTTAATTGGGTATACAAGAGATACATTTATTGACAAACGATATTACACAAATTTTCCTCAACTCGACTTTTATATATATATGGATCAAACTCGAAGAATTGAGTTTCGCAATGTTGATGATTAAAAAATATGTAAAACACGAATATGTATCAATATTTATTTGGATAAAGAAAAATTATCGAAAAAAAAAACAAAAAAAGAAAACAACAGTTACCACAACCAATTATTCTTGTGCGAGCGAATATATATGTCAGGCGGCAAGCTGAAAACGTAAAAAGTGGAATATGTTACAATAGAACTGTTAAATTTCCAACAGGATGCAATTATTTGTATGGTTTTGTGAAGTATAACTTATATAAAAATAATTTGCAACGTAAAAGAGAAAAAAAGATACGATATGTTTCCAATGCTAAAAAAGATCCACGCGGGAGTGTGCATATTTTAAACGAGTCAAAAATCACGTTTTATTATATATCTCGCCTCCTGTTCTAAATTAGACGTGTCTATATATAAATGTCGACAGACATTTCTAGACACGACAGCTTTCTCTGGCACGAAAGAACATCTTTGACAAAGTACATATTGTAATTACGTTCGTGCAATTTCCTGGAGTGTTTCTCGTGGCTTCGTTACGAAGAAACGTGCTCCATGATCTTGTGCAATATAATAATGCGAGCTCGCGAGACGAAGAGAAAGAAAAAAAATTAAGAAAGAGAAAAGTAACCATGCACACCACGTGAAAGAATTAATTATTTGTGTCGAGGAAGCGAGAAAGGAATAGATCTTTCTTCTTTCATTCGCGCGATATCGTTTCTTGTTTCCTCGTGGTCTGCTTTTGTACACATTATCAGAATCAATAAACTGCAATATTTATCTTTCATTTGCAGTATTTTACCAATAGATGTTGAATCGTTTTTTGAAAATTTTATGAATTATTTGGTCTTTGGGTTACTTTTTACTTTTAAGTCATTCTCATCTTATGTTCTTTCTTTTTCATTGCGTTTTATAATATTTCCTATGTTGTGTTCCGTTTCTTGATTTCTTTCTTTTTCTTTTCTGCGTATTGTGTTTTCTTTTTCTTTTCTTTTTCTTTTTTCTTTTTTTTTTTTTTTTTTTTTTCATTTTTTACTTGAATGAAGAGAGTCATACGTTTATAAGTTTTAATTTATGACAATGAATGATAAAGTGATTCTTACCATGATCGCTGTCAGGTCATGGTGCATCATTGTCGTTTACACCGTGCAATGCGAACCAATGTATGTTTCTGTTGTATAGAGCACATTGCTTCCGCTAGTCCCTGAAGTTAAATAAACGCAACATACAAAGAAAGAAGCTGATTCACGCGTCTCTTCACATTCTTATCGAAGCGATTTATAGACGCGATTGAACCTTTGCTCGGGTCAGTTGCGTTCTTTTCACGTTTTCATCGTTGTCAAAATGATGATACATTGCGAATATATGTAGTTATCGATCGGTTATTGTACAAGATTTTCTTTTAACTGTTTTTCTCGAAAATATTATTTTTACTTTTTATTAAAAACAGAATGGAAAATTATAATGTATCGTATATAAACACATCGTTCGCATTTTGGTTCCTAGTAAATTCTTCGCCTTGCATAATATAACATTTCTATCGATCATGTTTCTTATTACTATCTCGTGAAATAAATAAACCATTTGTCTCAGCGTTGCCTTTCGCAATCTGGCTTTATTTTATTACCCATTGTCTTGTATTATTATTTCAGAAGTAAATCTAGGAGCTGTTCAACTTCTCCCGAAGAATAACAAAACCTTCTAGAATACAAGATAACGGCTCATACTCGTCTAAAGCAAGTTCTGCCCGTTCTCCAGAAGAAAGCAATGTTGGCGTTGTGTGCACGTATCCAGCAGAGATGGATTTAGGATTGCCAGCTTTGCCCACGATGTCTACAGCTTGTCCAACTCTTACGGATACCGGTAGAGTCTGATCAAAATATTATTTTCATCCATTTTAAATATTCCAATCAGTATCCATCAATTACATATTCACATTTTTTTCTGATTCCTGCAAGAAAAATTGCAAATACATACTTGCAAATTTTCATCCAAAGTGACCAACCATCTGGGTTCCATCGCAAGCGCCAGACAGTACATCAAGTAATGAGATTTCGCCAAGATCAGATTCTGACAATCGAGAAAAGCCACCAAAACTACCAGTAACCCAGCTAAGGCTGCTCTATCCAATATTTTGGAACCATATCGTAAGGGAGATATGGATAAAGTACCCTGACAAAGAATTTTAACAAAATGAAAATGAACGAATCGCCAAATATTTAAGATGGATCAAATTTATATATATATATATATATATTATTTTTTTTTTTTTTTTTTTTTTATTTTT